TATTTCGTACAAAAATCTATTTGTATCCAACAGATATTACATTTTTAGGTATTCGAACTATAGATCCAAACATTTTTCATTTTTCTAAGGAATTCAATTCCCCTATATGCTTCTTTCTATTTTGGCCAATCATTTCTATTTTGATAGTCTTTAACTGATTGTAGTTCTGGATCCGCATTTTATATAATATCAAAAGTCACGTTAAAAGCGAAATTATTGTCTATAACAACATTATTTCGTTCCCATAGTTTATAAGATAACATATAATTTATTAAAATCTCATTATTTTCAAATATTTGTGGTTATTCAGGAGTTATAATTTCAATATTTGATTGAACAAATTTTTCTAATATTATTTCTTTTGAAGTTTTTGGTTTATTTTTCTCATGTACCTTTCTTTTACAAGGTACAAAGTTTTTGTAACCAGTTGGCCAACCACATTTTTAACATATTTGTGATTCATTTGCTATAGCTGATTGTCCTACAAGGACATCAAATTTTGTTAGAATATTTTCTTCTGGTATGTATGATTTTGTCACTTTTCTTGTGTCAACAAATATATCAAGTAATTGATTTGCAACTCTTTACAAATGAATTATTTTTCCTACATCTTGCTCACATTGATTATTGCGGGGTCAAAGTGAGATAGAGTTATTTCATTCCAAGAAAATTTTCCTTGTTTTTCAGAATGTAGTTTTTCCTCCCAAAATTAGGAAAGTTATTTTATCAGAATGGCAATCTGCAAAACATGCAATAAATAAATCACGTGTTAAAGGTTCAAGATACATAATGATGGATGGTAAATCAAAACTCACATAAATCCTAAGTTTTCGTTGGGAACTCATTTTAGTACATTGTGGGGTGAAAAATAGGGACTTGGACCGCACAACCAAAAGTTCATAGGTCAGAAATATCAAGTTCATAATCAAATGCCAGTTACAAAGGTGAATATTAATAATAGACAGTTGGTCTAATGCGAACTAATGACGCGGGATGTAGTATGATATAACCCTAAACAGAAGCTGTGAGTTATGTTTTCATAAGTAATAGTTCTACAATAAGTTGTAGGCGTTTAATAAACGACTCCATTAAACCATTTTGTATATGAACATGCGCAACTGAATGTTTAATAACAATCCCAATTGAGATGCAATAATCATCGAATACTCGTGATTTAAATTAAGCAATATTGTTAAGAAGAATAGTCTTTATTAAGTAACAGGAAAATTGCACTCATAATTTTATGATTTAAGCAAGTAGTCTAGCAAAAACTACATTTCTAATGAAAAGTAGGCAAACATGTAACCATCTAGTAGAAAAATCAATTAGTACCATAAATAACGAAATGGTCTACATGATCGGTGTATTGACCTACTTATATCTCCATGAATTCTTTCCAAAAAAGTTGGATATTCAATATTTATTCAATATTGACATTTGTCGTTGAAGGGTTAATGACTAATTTGTCTTACAAACAAACAACATATAGATAATTATTAGGTAAAATAATCTTCTGGTTTTTAAAGGATGTCCATGTGAGTTGCTTATTATTCGATGTATCATTATAGATTCTGGATGTTCAAGTCAATCATGTCAAAGTATAACTTTTTGGGTTGATGAATTTCTGGTTCATGACAATATTTGATTATATCATTTTTATAAATGTATAATACATGCTTCTGGCCAACTACAAAAGAAGTTATGCAAAGATATTCGACATTATTTTCTTATATTGTCTTAATATGATATCCATTGCAGCGAATATTTTTAAAACTAAACAAATTTCTTCTGAATTTATTAGAATTAAGTGCATCGTTAATATATAATTTTGAATTATTTGATAAAATAATACAAGTTTTTTGGAGCATTCAACGATATTTGATGCACCTGATATTGTATTAACATTATTATTATTTTCTGATAATGTTAAGTCCAAAATAGATGTTTTGCCTTAAAGAATAGTATGCGTAATTGCATTATTGATCTAGCAGGTATCTTAACAATCCATCATGAGTCTTTCAAAAAAATCGTGTTGATGACATGTAATAAAAAGAGAGAAAATATATAAAAGAATATATGAGTCAAAACTCAAGTATGTCTTTTATTGAGATTCGGGACCCATATTTGTATGGTCTAAAATAAGAGATATAATTGGAATAAAATAGGCCTTCTAGACTAGATAATACTTATCTATATATCATGATAACACTAAATAATTATCTTATTATTTTATAACAAAACAAAGGCTTATTTTAATTTCATTATTTTCCTGATCCTATTGCCCTGGCTAGAGAAGATAGAAAAGCCCACGAAACAATGGGCTCACTCAACTTTGAATGGGAAAAAATCACAACCCAGGTGTATAGTGTACCCCAAGTCAAAAGACAGATTTATAGTTTAAAAATTCAAACATTAGGTATTTAACAATATATATATATATATATATATATATATATAAAGATTATGTATAATCCATTTAAATATATATATATATATATATATATATATATATATATATATATATATATATATATATATATATATATATATATATATATATATATATATATATATATATATATATATATATATATATATATATATAAAGATTATGTATAATCCATTTAAGATCACTTTCCCAGTATAACGAGACTCCCTCCAAATACAAATCCACATTCCAAAATTAAAAATTCAGATGGATTTCAAGTTTCACTTTTCCAGTATAACAGGACTCCCTCCAAATACAAATCCACATTCCAAAATTAAAAATTCAAATGGATTTCAAGTTTTCATGACGAAGGAGGTAACTGTGTCGATTAATTTCAATAACAAATTCAAAGATTTAACTGGATTTTAATACTTTCCGTCACAGATTACCGCTAGATTTGAGAAATCGAAAATACCAGCCGGAGAAGACAATCCAGGTAAAATTCTATTATTTTGTTCATCTGCTTCGAACGTTGTAGTCACAAATGGAATGCTATAGGAAGTAATTGATCTCACGGTCACAATTTCAGGGGAAAAAATTGAATGGTAGTCGAACGAGTGCTGATCGTCGCAAAACTACTCGTAATCGAACTAATTGCTTGGAAATTGCATTCATTGCGCTAAACACGACAAGAATTTCACAGTCACATAATGTACATAAATTTGTAATTTACATGTCACAGATACTCTAATCGCATATTACATACTTTCCATGTATGTGACTCATGCGTCTACTGTGTATAGTGGATAGAATATGAAGCGTAAATATGAGAATGGTAATAAATGAACTGTGACTTATGTTTCACCCATTATCTTATTCAATTTGAGCACATGGGGCCTCTATTGTATGTAATAAGAACGTGACCTTTGTTTCACCTCTGTCACGTTCAATTTAGACACATAAGTCTTCTTTGTGTATATATATATGTGTGTGTGTGTGTGTGTGTGTGTGTGTGTGTGTGTGTGTGTATGTGTGTGTGTGTGTGTGTGTCATGTATGCTATTCGATATGTATGTGACTTGTATTTAGTGGCAGATAACTGACTTGTTTGAAAATGTGACCTGATATATATTATTTTCATCCCGTGGCCAGTATTGATGTTAATTTTAGCTTGCAGAAATGGTGTACTTGCACATATGTTTGATAAATGGATCTCAATCGTCATTGGTGTTGGTGGATCGCAATTGAAGTTATGTACAGCTTGTGGACACGGTTATGAGAGAATTTAATCTGGATCCCATGAAAGTAGCAGTCTCATTGAAGTATGTGCTGAATGATGATTTGCCACCAATCAAGATAAAGAATGATAACAATGTCCTATCGTACATTCTACTAAAGGATATGCAACGTGAACCTGCAAAATACCCATTATTCATTGATGTTACAGATACAGAAATTGATAATACATCTATCATATTACCAATCAATGCACATTCTAGTGATGAGTTGTGTACGTTGCAGGACATGGTATCATACATATGCGAAGCATCAATAGAAATAATGGGTCACATATGTGACACTGAAGGCACCGTTGTATCGGTAGCTGATGCTAGGGAGGTAGAAGAAGGAAGGGTCTTCCGTGATAAGAATATTTTGAAACAGAGCCTATTCCTTTTCTCCATACAGAACATGTTTGAGTTTATGGTTGAAAAGTCTAACAAGAAAGAATATGTTGTGAAGTGTTCACATCGTGGATGTAGTTGGATATGTAGATCGTCAAAGTGGGGTAAAACAAATTTATTTAAGGTTCGAAAGATTGGTAGTCACATATGTCCATCAAATATAGTGTTGGAGTCACACAGGCAGTCTCAACTTCAGTTGTGTCATCTACCATTAAATATAAATACACATCGTCACATACTATATATACTCCGAAGGATATATGCAGTGATATGTTGCATACTTACGGGGTTTATTTGAATTATTCGAAAGCTTGGAGGTCTCGCGAACAAACTTTGAGAATGATTAGGGGTGATCTAGCTGAATCATTTGGTAAGATACCAAGTTTCTTCTACGTGCTCCAACAAAATAATCCCGACACGGTCACAGAACTCGAAGTGGATAGTCACAATATGTTCAAATATTGCTTTATGGCACTTGGTTCATCAACACAGGGATGGGAGCATTGTAGACTTGTGGTTGTGATTGATGATACTTACTTGAATGATCATTATGGAGGTACCATTTTCACAACGTGTACACAAGATGCAAATAACAGCATATATATTCTTGCTTTTGGAATTGGAGACAATTAGAACGATAAATCTTGAAGATGATTTTTAGAAAACTTCAAGAAGGCTTGTGGGCACAGAGACGGACTGTGTTTTGTATCGAACCGTCACATGAGTATAAACTGTGCAATAGAATATGTATATCATAGGACTTCTCATGGTATTTGTACATATCATTTGTTGCAAAACTTGAAATCATACTATGGGAAATCTTGTGAAAACATTACATAAGCATTCAATTCGGTTGTCCGTGCTTATACATTGGAAAATTTTGAATATTACATGCGACGACTGGACATAATGAATGAGAAGATTACTAGTTACTGGTACTGTACTACATCTGATGACATTTTCACATACATAAAAATGGTCACATATGTTGGTTATATGATATCAATCAATAAGCTTTGTGTTTGCAGGTAGATGTTGGACTGGAAAAGTGGTTACGAATCCATATGCCAACAAACAGATACTCTACAATGACTTCGAATATCGTAAAATCAGTTAATGCTATGACAAAGGCAGCCAAGAATTACCCTATTGTATCGTTGCTAGAGTCATTATGGCAAACTGTACAATCTTGATTTTGAAAACATAGAGATGACGCACATGGAACTTTCACGAAATTGTCAAGCAAGTACAAGAAGGAGATGAGGAAAATAAGTGTAGAGTTGAGGCACTTGAGGGTAACTTCATTACTCTGACAGTAAAATTCATGTGTGTGACTCATCATAAATGCATATGATATGAGCTGTATATCCGTGACAGAAGATATTTGTGTGCACCATTTGCATGTGTGACCTGGATTTAAGCATGTGCAATGAATATAAATGCATGTGACCTGATATATTAACCTGTGACATAAGATATGTGTCTGTGACATATTTATAATAAATGTGACATGATACTATTACTGTTTTTACATTCTCTCAGGTAGATCCCTCTAACCAGTCAGTGTTTTCTGTCAGCAATGAAAAGTCAACATTTATTGTTGATATTGAACAACATACATGTATATGCAGGATGCTACAAGTTGATTTGATACCGTGTCCACATGCCTTGGCTATAATTGCAAATACAAGGAGAGATTCATATGCTTACTGTTCTTATTATTACACAAGAGACGCTTACGTGAATGCATACCAATATTCTATACATCCTGTTGGGAACCAGAATGAATGGACAGTGCCTGAAGAAGTACAAGCTAAAATTGTGTTAGCTCCTAACCAAAAGAGAAGTTCTGGAAGACCTACTGAGAAGAGGAAGAGATCATCCAGAGAAGGGAAACCAACAGTGAAATGTGGTTGTTGTGGAGGACAATGTCACAATCGTAGGAGATGCTCAAGTGTAGTTCCATTGAACTAGAATGACATAGGAAAGTAACATAAATGAAAATAGAATTCAACCGATAATACAGATACATTATAGATATCTCATGTTCTTTTATTTCAAACATTCATTGAAATAGCAGAGTGAAATATACCTGTGACCATTTTGTTTTCAAGTGCAATTAAGTTTCGACATTTACATAGTTGTTATGATAAGAAACAGTGACCTATGTTTGAATTCTAAAGATGTTTGATAACCAAATGTGACCTGTTGTATGAGATACATATATGTGACTACTTCTTCCATTCGGACCATAAAATGTGACATATGTATCATAACACGTAACATTCTCCAACAGACAAGTGCTCTGTGTCAGATGGGATACCTGTTTCGACTAATTGTGTCTCATGACTACCTGTGACCTGAGTTGTGAGACATGTGACTACCTTTTCAAAAAAAGTGACATATGTGACTACATTCTCTATCAAATATAAATGATGAGTGGTGTAACGTGTGACTTGTGTCCTGGTGGTTTAACATGTGACCGTCTCCAACAGAGATATGCCCTGTGTTGTGTACTTGTGACCTGTGTTATATGACACAGGTCACAAATACTGTGCTGTGTATCATATGACCTGTGTCATATGTGAGACAGAAGACCTGTGAAATACAATATTTTTGTTATGGAAAATATTGCAATAATATGTAATAAATATAATATTATGAGCAAAAACATGTTGCATTCATGTATTGCAAATTAAAACTTACAACAAGTTAGTATTCAATACAATCACCTCCATTCGGCAGAAAATACTAATATTTGTAACATGTACAAAACTAAAGCGTCAACTTCATTTACATAATTCATTCTACTTTCATTCTATGACAATCCCCTCCCCCGTTATAGGCTACCTCGCCCTCTTCACGTACATCTCCCGATGCTTATACAGCAGTGTGGCAATGTCCATTCTATACTTGCCAGCATCAAATGTATGTGGAATGGACTCTCTGCCTTCATGGAGGATATATAACGCATATAAGATCACAAATATTTCGCAATCGTGACTACAAAACAACACAGGACAAAATGTTACAAATGAATTTTCTTTAAAAGTTATACATATTGCACTCTTGGTCACAAACATACCCATTCATTTGCTGAGGTAAGGTATCATCGACAGTAACCTTCAATTCCATGCAACTTGGTTCAATATAATCGGGGTCCTTTTTTGATATTCCATGATTATACATTAGAGCAGCTAAGATTTTCACAAATGGCTCTATACCTTTTACAACTTTCCAGTCACGGTAACTTTTGTCTGCCAAATTGAAAACTATCAACCTGTGGCTTCTAAATTGCAACAAACCAAGCATCTAGTGAGCTTTGTTGGTGGGCAGTAATGGCATGAACACGTAGTTAACATCAGCTCAAGGTGTGCTCAAAGGAAGGCTGTCACCTGTTACAACTTTAATAAGGCTAGACTCTGACATCAGAACATTGGGATCCTTCAGAAAAGCAGGTATATGTCTTTGATTTTATTTTGAAACCAAGAATCGGTCATTGTGGCTCTAAGCTTCACTTTGTTGCCAAGTTTTGCTACCTGACGAATGTAATAAAAGCATGCATCCATGTGCTGTTTCAATAAAAAGGGAAGAACTCAGTAATGTGGAATATAACCTGTTTATATGAACCATGTATCTGTGATCTGTGACTATGAACTATGGACAGTAATCTGTGACTATGGACTGCAATTTGTGCACATTGGGTAATAACTATGTGTTGTGATCTGTATATACATTCTATGACTAATTAGCAATGAAAATGTGACCTATATCAGTAGAATAATGTAATCATACCGAACTGGTCAAAGATGAGTCTGAATTTGTAAGTTGGTAGAACTAGGACTTAGGACCTACTGAGCGTGACCTAATAACAAAAGTAGGATTGATTCGACCATCTTCATCACTAAACTTTTTCCTATGACCAATATGGAAAAGTAAGTTATTGTGTTACAACAAGTTATTGATACAAATTAACAAATGGATACAAAATAACAGTACTTGGTTCTTGGTTTGTACCCTCTCTGGAACTAAGCCATGAATGCTGAGCTATCAACTTCATCAACACGAACTTTGTAATTTTCAAAAATAACAATATCGTCATGTTTGAATAACTTTCCTTCTCCAGCCACAAATGGAGACTACAATATTTTTGCAGGCCTTGAAACACATTTAACTAGCACTTCAGAAGTTAGTTCAACAGTAGTTGTGTCCTGCATAATGTTGTAACGGGTCACAGATTACTTTATGCACATTTATTGAATTTAGCATGCAGCATATAAACTCTAGTCTACCAAGAAATGAACTGTGACCTTAGAACTGGACTATGTAATGGTTAGTAAGTATATGTGTAACCTGTGACCTATGGCCATTTACTAGTACATGCATTTTGTGAATCTTGAATTTGTGACAAGGCACATCTTAGTTTAGCGTGCTGCACATGAACTGTGACCTATAACCATGTACTAGTTATGATCTGTGACCATCCAGCATATAAGTGTGATCTGTGACCTATGACAATTAACTAGTTGTGAACTACATGATGTCTGAATCCTACAGTTATAAGTACCTCGGTATCAATGGTTGTAATTGCGGTGACCACATCCGATATTACAGAATCGACATACTTCTGAATGTCTTCGGAATGTAAAATGTCAGGTTGTGTAGATCCAACCCCCAAGTCAAATGATAGTGCTTCGAGAGTATACGGCAGAACGATATCATTAGTTGGGTCCAGTTTGCCCTTTCCTTTCCTATCCACATTTCGTTCCACGATTTTCACCTGTACACAAAATGAGAGAATGTTTTAAATGTCAAATAAAACTCTTGAACTATGTGGAAATGTAATGTAACTATCTCCTCAGTCTTATCAGATCCGCCAACAACTGGAGGATCTTTATCTCCAACTCCATGATCATTTTTTTTATGACCAAACCGTTTCATAATATCATCCATGGAACTGGAAATCATTGCTGATATCGTTTCTGACAAAAATTACATATTTGTCCTAACCTCCATCAAGTCACTTTTTATGTTAGATTGCATTTGAACTATGTAATTCATCTTTGTCATTTGCTCAGCATTCACTGATGATATCTGAGACTTAATGTCATCAAGCTCCACATTCAACACTTCATTATAGGACTTTAGATCAGATATTTGTGACCTCAACTCCTTAATCTCCTGATAAAAAACTGTTTATATGTGACTTGTGACAAAAAAGAACCATATATTGCACACTGTTAAAATGAATCTGTCACATGTGACCCGATCTAAACCACATGTGACTTGAAACTAGTGGTCAACAATATAATTGTTTGACAACTGACTAAAATAACAACTTATATCACCCCCATTGTGCCTCACGAGCCTATTGTTCCATTGGAGAATGACGAATAGCTGACGGGCAATCTTGGGTTGGGGATTTTTCCAGGGGAGATGTCTCCTGCCATATTGGAGGAGGATCAACAAAATCATCATCATCATTGTTGTCGGGAACACGAGCCTATCGGACACTGCTGTCTGTTAGCAGGAGCACTGATGGACCTGACTTCCCACTCGTGCCAGTACGATCAACTAACCTTTCTATTCTACTATTATCTCTACGGCTGTCTGGTGAAAACTTTGGTTGAACTGACCATTTATGTATGGCATGGCCATTTCAGTTTCCGAGGGATCTAGGTCACAAATCTCAATCTGCAAAACAATATAGATTAGAGAAATGCAATGTCAACAGATAATTACTAAGTACTTAATGCTTACTGAAACTTTACATTAGGATTAGAGAAGCAGTCACGTCCTTCCAACTTGGCAGCCGATGGTTGCTCGTCTGCAATCCAGTTCTTGATGTGCGGATGCATCCTTGATATTCGTGTGACCTCAACTCCATCAAGGCTAGGAAAAGTCTCATATATCCAGGCTTGAAAGGCTACCAACATACCTCGTAGCTTGTAGTGTGAGTTCATCCTACTCAACCCGTCTTTCAATGCACTCAACGTAATTTCAAATAATAACTTGCCCCATGGAAACTGATTCTTGCAGAGAAATCCTCAACAAGTATGAATAGGAAGTGATCAACAACTTTCTTATAATCTTTTGGAAATAGATATGCCGTGATGAAGTACAACATTCCAATCATGGCAACATCATTATCTGGAAGAGTTTCAACGAGATCCAAGTCCACCATTTGGCAAGCAGATATGAAAGTGGACTTTACATCTTCGTGGGTTACACTATGCACTTGAGAAAAATATTTTGCCTTTAACCATGACTCTCTACTTTCGAACACTTGTGTATCACTAACCCTAGAACACCTCAGCCCCGTGACTAAACAAAACTCCGAGATAGAGAACCGGACATATTGCCCCGATACATAAAACTACATTTCTTGGTCATTCGGGTGATGAACTTGCCGCAGAAGGAAGTAGTGAATCAATTGCGGCTGTATAACAATTTCATGGCAATCCAAGAAATGAGCAAACCATGTATCCATCAATACATGTTTATGTCGTTGGCTTAACGATGTCTGAATGGTAATCAAAACTCCCTTACTGACTGAGGTTGTAATCTTGCCTGGAAACCAGCTCTCTTCTAGTATTTTGAATTCTCAAACCTGCATTAAGTGCAGACACAGTGTTAAATGCTTGTATGAAAAATCGCATTGACATACACGTTTTAACAAGGTCACAGACATAAATGAAGTCTTACTGAAACTACATATTTATGAAACTTTGGTGGAATTATAGTCACGTTATGTAGATTCATAACACGTATAGAAAATATCATGGTCCCGCGTTTGTACATAGTCACACATCACACAATATATTCAAAACAAATTCATACAACAGTTACAGGTACGCAACCCATCATAGTCACATATTCACACAACACAACATAGTCACAGATACGAAACCCATCATAGTCACATATTCACACAACATAGTTACAGGTACGCAACCTATCATAGTCACATGTTC